CAAATAGCACCTCGGCTGGATGTGTTCACAACAAGTAATTTAAAAAAAGAAAAACGGTTGCAATATTTTTTATGAGGTTGCTTAGGTATTGATTTTTCGATGTTTTAAAGCAAATAGACTTATTTCACTAACTAATAAATTTAGCTGATTATGGTCTAAAAGGCGTCTGAAGATGGTTAAGTCGTAAAAAAAAATGTGTGTCACTTGAAATTTTTGTTTAAACCCTGATAAACAATGAAAATTTAATAATTACCTTAAAACATAACTGAATTTACCGCGAATTTCTTTTTGTACACTGCTGCCTGAGATCGGCACATCAAAAACAAATTTTTTTGGGAGATTAGAAAGACATTTATTACAAAAGAAGTATTTTGAAATAAAAAAAATTAGGCAAATTTGAATGAATTTATTTCTCTGGTGTAAACCAAATCCATTTGGTTTAAGTCCAATAAATGTGGTTTATATATTTTAATCAAATATTTTTCCCACAGTGATGCAGAGTGTAGTACAAGCATTTCGTGATACATAGCTTGCTTCAATCACGCAAAACATAGTCTTTGCGCTTTATGTCCTCCCATTGTGAGGAACTAGACTGTAGTTGCCGTGGCCTCTGCTCAGATTTTTACATCTAGCCACTGGTATAAGCCGTACACTTGAAGCAACCGCACGGGGCGTTTCGAGCGTTGTCTCCCCCTGAGAACCGGGCTTTTGGAAGCTACTCATCTTGATATCACCGGGGTGTACGGAACTTTTTGTCCGCATTTCTAATTTTAAAGCTTGATCTTGCAACAATGCCGATGACAATCGCGCCTTTGCTTGTCAGCATCGCGCGCGAAACGTGGATGTAAACTGTTTATCATAGCTAATGGTATGGTATATAATACTTTTTTTATGCGCAAATTTATTGCTCCCTAAATGTGAGGTTAGTTTTTACTCAAGATTTTGTGCTGTTTTCTTAAACTCAGAGTGGACAATGCTAGGTTATATTTTATTGATTTTGTTGAGTAGCAAAGGATAGAAGAAAAAAAAGAACACCCGTCGAAGCAGCCTCATGCTCAGGGCACTTTTCATTATAATGAAAATAAGCCCACGCTATCCACAACTCTTAGAAAGCCTCGTTTTCAGTAACATGTCGCTTCACAGCCAGCCTTCAAAACTTTTCCCAAGCGTCTCGGAAGAGATGGCTAGAAAGCTTATCACAAACATTTGTAGGCTCTCTCGCTGCTACGTTTCATTCTTAGAGGACAGCGTTCCAAAGCTGTTCATGGGAAGCGCGGTGCAGGTAAAGCTTCGACAGATAATGTTTTATTAATCCCTAGACATTTTATACGATCAAGTTTGCGGACTTGGCGGGCTCTTGAAGGTGTGCAATACACAAATCCTCCATCGTTTTTGTTCGCTTTCGTTTTTTTTTTTTTTTTTGCACGTATATTAATTTAGATCACATTATTCAATGTATATTTGACATCCCCAAGCACAAAGTACAGATTAAAATTGATGTCTGGAGCACAGACAAAAGGCCATATTACTGCGGTTTGACTGGACTCTTTGGGGCAGGGCTTGATGTCTGCACCGTGCAGTTGTCTTGCTGCAAGACAAAATAAGTAGGGGAAGGGCCCGTTCAAAATATTTGGAAGCGTGACGTTACTTAATATCTCCCTGTATTTTCTGAAGTAAGCCTTCTATCTATTTTGGTCATGGGGCCGAGACCCTGGCCCCTCATGGCACCACAGACGTTGATAGAAGAACGCCTACTCCGTTCAACTTCCTGCCTGTATCTGGCGCCGCAGCTGTAATTTTATAGACACAATTTAGTTAGTAGTTATTGTGATTTATCCCATATCTAAAAAAAAAGCCGTGAAAAAACCTTGGCCTTTGTATTTATGGAACCACGTGTTTTATATGTTTTCCTAATTTGGATATGTCGGCCGATTTTACCTAGCTTTGTTGGCCGTAAATGCTGGAAAAACGCGTCCACATTCAACTTTTTTTTTTTTGGAACGACATAAAATATTGCCACTCTCTTATATCTTTCTAAAATGAGTTGATTTGATTTTCAATTATTATGAGCAGGTTTCTCATTAAACCATATGCTTTTTCTCACTACTTAAAAAGTTAATAAGTAAACTTTATCTAATGATTTAGCTAATTAGTTTGTTTCTTGAACTTCTGGCGTCCGCCGTCGCTGGCAGTTTGTCTCCGTTGATTTATTATATTTTTCTTAGCCGCCCTATTTTTAGGGATTTTTGATGACCTTCGCTGAAACACCCGTATACGCAGCAAACGCACAGATACACTGATTATCAGATGCTCAGAACTGCTGTGCATAACCCGATAGTGCGTGTACATAATGGTTTGAGCACATAAATTACTCTCCCAAGGTGTTTATATAAATATATATTTCATTTCATTTCATTTTATTACCTCAAAGGCACTCGATTTGCGAGCGCATTACATGAGGGGGAAATTCATAATATACAATTAGAACTTCAATACAGTATTTTCGCGTATATACTATTTACATCTTAGAATAATACGCACAAAAATGCACTGGGGAAAGCGTGCACACAAAAGAGCAGGAAAAAGAACACATACATGATATAACATTGCAATTTCATATATTGCGACATAATTGAATGGGTGTAAACAAAAATTAACGCAAAAAAGATCAAGATGAAAATGCACAAATATACAACAGCGTGCAAGGCAAATAAATATCAAGGTAGAGACCGCTTACTAACTGTTCATTCCAATGTGCTGTTCACATTTTAATTTATATGCTGCTAGGTTAGTCTCCGATACCACTTCGTATGGCATATCGTTTGTAATGAACGGTGCTATGAATGGGCCCCGGACCATTTCCGAATGTCTGCATCGGGCCGTTTGTTTTCGCCGAACGCCTCTCGCGGGTTCAAGGTCATCTTACTCAGCGAGCCTGGCACCATCATCGCTTCGGAAGCACGCCTGCCCAGCGAACGCACAAGACAGGCGCCGTGATATATCCAGACTATAATGTGTACAAGTCTGGATATAGCCTCCGAAGAGGAGAAAACAACGTCTCACGTTTCACCACCGAAACACCAGGGCACGATCCGGGGCGATTGAGGTCATCCGGACGCCTTCATTCAACGCGTAAACACGAAGGCTCGAAAGGCGGCACGTCACGTTTTGGGCCCGGGCGGTGTTTTGACCAGCTGCGTGAATTTCAACGAGTTGGTGTTTTGGTGAGACTTTCGGCGCCGTCTAGACCGACGGTGAAGCGTTTACGGCGGCTGAGTCTGCGTAATCATGGAATGTGGGGCGGTTTTTGAACTGAACACCTTTCTGGGTTGAAAGTAGTGAAAGCGCACAATAAAGACGAATACGAAGACGTAGAGGCAAACAGGACGAGCGCTGACTATCAAACAGGACGAGCGCTCGTCCTGTTTGCCTCTCCGTCGTCGTATTCGTCTTTATTGAGCGCTTTCACTACTTTCAACATACATAACCAACTCGCCTGCACCGCCACATTAGTACCTTTCTGTGATTGGCCGACTATCCACCAATGTGGGGGTCCCTACCTAGGGACCTAGGGAGAACCAAGTGTTTAAAATGAGCGAACTTTGACAAGCAAATGTCTTCTCTTCTCTGGTCTTGAATCAACTGTAAAAATGTAAATTAAAGGTCTCTCGAAAAGTACCCCGGCTTCCGAGGCCCATCTTCCTGATGTCCTGGTCAGTACCTGGCTCCGGCGGAGCCCGACAACAAGGACTACCCTGGGTTCGCTACACGTTCCAATCTCTAATGCACATGACAACAGGCGATGAGGAAAATAATAGTGTGCGTGATTTGGGCGGCTGAATCTTGAGTTGGTGATCCATTCTGGGTGATATATAGGAGGGCGGTTTGCAGTAGGTTTGCCTAAAAGTTGATGCGCTATTGAAAATGGTATGAAACAGACATAGTCGTGACAGCCATCGACGTTTCTCAAGAGAATGTAGACCGAGGTTGTTTTTTAGTAACGTGATGCTAGTGAATGATGAATAGTCAGAGGTAATAAATTGGGCTGCCTTATTCTGGACGGACTCCAGTCTATCAACAAGGTATGCCTGATGAGGACTCCAGAAAGCGCTAGCGTATTCTAGTTTTGGAAGTATCAGCGAATTGTAGGCAAGCAATTTAGTGGACGGAGGTGCGAGAGATATATTTCTTTTCAAGAAGCCGAGGGTTTTATGAGCACTTGCTACTATGCAATCTACCTGATAAGACCAGTTTAACGTTTCTGAAAAGTGGACACCAAGGTACTTGTAAACGGACACCCTGTCAATGTTGCGTCCTTGAAGGAAATACTGGGTAGACGATCTACTTGGCGATGTGGAAATGTTCATGTGTTTACTTTTTGAGACATTAATATTCATGAGCCAGTCGGTGCACCAAGTTCCGATCCTGTCAAGGTCATTTTGCAATATTAAATGATCGGATACCTTTCTGTATATGACACAATCATCAGCGAAAAGCCTAATGGTGGACGTTAATGAAGAAGGAAGGTCATTTACATATATTAAGAATAAAGGAGGCCCAAGAACGCTCCCCTGCGGTACACCAGACGATACTGAACATTGATAAGAATGAGAAGCGTTTATTTTTACGGACTGAGTTCTATTAGAAAGGAAGGAAGCGATCCAGTTAAGAATGCACGGTCCGATGCGGAGTCGTGATAGCTTTAGGAGGAGGCGACTATGTGGGACAGTATCAAAAGCTTTGGCAAAGTCGATGAAGATGATATCGGTCGGGTGATTGTCATGAGTGTTGACATGAAGGTCAGTAATGAACTCGAATAGCTGGGTGACACATGATATATTGAACATGCGTATAATCTAAAGCTACTATTTATGTGAATTATTTCGAAATATCTCAAAATACTCGAGCGGAACCAGCTCAAAGCTTTTCACAGGATATCAATTAAAAAATACGTGTAACCAAGTTTTTCTGATTTGAATTTTCTCATTTGATTTACCAAGCCATCAGAAGCGAGAGAAGATTCCAAGACCCTGGATATCTGTAAAACTAGTTGTTGCCCAGATTACAACGAACAGTTTCATGAAATGTCAAAAGGAGCTCCGGATGGAATGCTATGTGGATCGCATCAGGTGGGCTGTTTTTTTTATTCTCAGTATTCCTTGAACAGAAGCACAATACACTTTCAAAGTATACACGAACTCTAAAGATAAGTTCCAAAGGTGGGTAAATAGTACTCCAGGAAAAGAAAAATATATATACTAAGATACACGTTCAATACAGTTGCGTTGCAGGGTGCTGCCTGCAGTAGTCAAACTGAATTAGTATAATAGTTTATTGTGTGAACTAAAGTTTTAGACAACCTAACAATTTATGGAAAAGCCGATGCAAGATAATCGAAATTGTGTAATACCGGACGATATTACAGAACCACTGACAACCCTAACATTATTTCGTCGAACGATTCTTGATGGCGTGATCGGCAATGCCAATAATCGCCTACTGCGAGCTGCCATCTTCGCCAACTGTGTCGTGCAAGGCAATTTGAGCGTGCACAGCCTTCTCCGGAATATTAGACTCAGCTTATACATTTACAGTCCAATGACTAGAGAGTTTTCGGACGGGTACGTGATAAGCTGGAAAGGTGCAGAGACAGAAATAAATTGTCATCGAGAAAGCAATGTTTAGTACGCGGACGCGGTCGTCAAACAGTCGTGTCCTCGTCCCGAGGCGTGCCTCTCCTCGCTTCTGTTTTATCAACGTAGAAGTTTGGGCTAGTTGGTATTTCATTATTAAAATTAAAACAGCGCAGGGACACGGACAAGAACAAGAAGGTAGACTAAGAAGGCGCTGTTTTAAAAACAGCGCCTTGTTCGTCTACTTTCTTGTTCTTGTCCGTGTCCCTGCGCTGTTTTAATTTTTAATAATTTTTTATGATGACGTCGATCTTTCAAAAATCTAGAACTTCCGCATATAGACCATGTCTGCAACAAATTGTTTGTGCAGTCATCAAATATTTACAGCGATGGCACCCACACGACGCTGTAGATTTTGAGATATGAAATTACAAATTTAGATCCCGGAAGCGATTGCAAAATGTTGCTAAAAAACTATAACTATTAATTGCGGGGCCGTCCGCTTGCGGAAGATGGATACATGGTACGCGCGAAGAGAAAGAGGCACGCTGTAGGTGGGCAAGCATCTACGCCATCTATGAGTGAGAAGAAAGTTTTACAACATATCACAGCTTCCAAAATTTTACTCGCTCAAAAAAATATAAACACAGGGTGTCACAAAAAAAAATTACAGGGTTTTTTTTTTGTTTTTTTTACAGCAAAATTAAGCTAAGCATCGCCGAACACTCATTCTCCTTCCAGAGGTATTTGTAGAGGTTACAAACAGATGCCAAAGTTTCAGCCCGATCCGATACCTTATTCAAAAGGTATCAGTGATTTTTTTTTTTAATTTCAATGAGAGAATGAAGTACATTTTTTCGCTTTTTTGGTTTCTGGTGCCATGGAGCCCTATGTATTCGAAAACTCCGTCGGCCGCCATTTTCCCATTGCAATTTTCAGAAAATCACATAACTTATGAGTAAGATATCGAATCGGGCTGAAACATTGGCATCAAGTTGTGACCTCTAGCGCTAGCTTTGGATGGAGAAAGAGCGTTCGACGATGCCTAGTTTATTTTTGCGGAAAAGAAAACCTTGTATTTCGCTTTGTGCCACCCTGTAGAGTAAAGCGCTTTGGCAAGGAGGGCACCATTTTGCCATCAATTTCGTTGACACATTATGTTGAATTAACCGCTCAAATACGACGAGGGAGGATAGACAAAGGAGACAGAATAGAGTGCTGAATCAGCGCTCTATCCCTTTTCCTTTGTCTGTCCTTCCTCGTAGTATTTGCGCTGTTAATTCAACATAATAATCAACCAGCTAGCCCGCCAGATGATCTTGATTCTTTGACACACGATGAAGCTTTAAATTCGGTTTCCAGAAATTGTTTTTATTTTCCAAATCTGCACCTACGTAGCATTGAATTTTGAGGATAATATCTAGGGATCATTTCAAAGCAACTGCAAGAGTACACAATAAATCCGGTGCCAGCAGCTTTTAAAAAAAAAGCCCACTGTAGACGAGTTACATTGAAACCGAACATCAGCGAGCCTCAAAAATGTGCGGGCAAGAGATTCCGGATAACAAAATGCCAGAACGATAGAAATACCTCGAGTAATAATTGCGTTGCATGTATGTTTAGACGGCAGGACGTTTAACGGCTACGATGAGCATCAGGGCCGACTTGCTAGAAACAGAGTCTTAGCTGAGACTGGGGAACGAAAGCACTGCCAAAGCCAGCGCGCGACCTGAGCGGGACACAAGCCACGTCTCGAGCCGCTCGCACGCACCATCCTTTGCACTGCTTTGGTTCACCAAGTTTCAGCTGAGACGCTGTCTCTAGCAAGTCGGCTCAGGTGTTTCCGTTGTAAATAAGAAACTTAGCCGGTGCAGTGGCACTGCTAGAGTGTGGCATAGCCTCCTCTATACTCACAAATCCTGGCAGTTCAACGATGGAGCCATAGAGTGCCCGGTCGCAGATTTGGAGAGCGAGGATCTCGTAGCACAGAGCATCGAAGAGTTATTTCTCGGGGAAGCTGGACATCAGCGCACAGCTTTTGCAGCTACTAGGACCCGAAACACACTTGATCGCTCAGAAGAAGTGTGTTTCGGCGTCTCACCGCAACGGGGCGCCGATCACGTGGCTCTCCCCTCATCTTTCGTCTGCCGCTCCACCTTTTCTGTTTTGGCGGCCGCTTCTCGTGGTGATCTGCCAAGCTTTGTCACTATATAGGAGGCTACGACTGTGGTCTTTACCACAGTCATAGCCTGGTCTTTAGCATGCGTCACGCAGCGGCAACCGTCATACTGTACAGCACGCTGGTACGATGCTGATTCGGATCAAAACAGGCAGCGGTGGGGATTGAACCCATAATTCCTGGGCTCTGGAGCACGAACTTTTGTTAAACGCGTCCCGATCTGCAGGGCGTTGACACCCTCGACCACCAGTCCCCCCGAAAAGAAGACAAACACCTTGAAGCAAATGCAGAAACTGCGTGGGAGAGGATGACGCTATACAGTGGCGGTAAAGGTGGTTTAGAGAGGCTAGAAAGTGTTAATTGTAGAAAATAGGGAGTGATAAAAGTGGATAAGGAAGTTGAACAGAGAGTTATTAAAAGGAAGGCGTATATACAATTGAGAGAAGCAACCAATTTTATCAACAAATACCCATTGCTATGGGGAATACACCTCACACAACTCAGTTCCGTTAGTCACCCACAAACGGGGACGAATCCTTTCATAGAATTCTTAATGCCCCAAGCTCGAAAGGGCTCATGAACCGCGTTCTCCGCGCCGTCCCGTCGTGTAACAAACCCACCTATGAGAATCCTGTGCGCCATTGGCTCCGAGATCATGTTTGAAGGCTCTGCACTTTTTTATTCATTCAATCTGCCGCGTCGTTTTCTCTTTACGGTTAAAGGGGTAGGGAAACGAAATTCCAGCGCTCATATACTAGCTTGAATCTGTTGCATGTTGCACCCTAACCTCAAAAACGCCAGTCTTTCGTTGAAAGGAACAAGAAAACTAATTTTAAAGCTAAATAAACGATCTTTCAGTCTGCGCCCGGTGGATGCATGCAGAGCTTATTTGGAAGGTAATCTAGCAACGTTGGGGAACTTGCTGCGTAGTCGTGCCGTAGCAGATTACTTCGGAGCAGCGCCGCCCTTTGGAATTTCAACATGTTCCTTCTTAGCCTTCCTCCTAGCTCAACTCACAATTCGCGCATTGTACCAAACGGTCCAAGAAGACGGAAAGGAAGGACTCCCTCATTCTCGGACCCTCGTTCGTGCAACCGGACACAGCCATTCTCCCCCTAGAAGATTAGCCCATCGCTCAAAACTAGAACAAAAGTTGCTTTCCCCACCCCGATAAGCCCTAAGCTAGCAGTGTTGTGGAAGCTACGTGCTCCTGGGGCCAGCCACGCACTCGTCACCTTATGGATACTTCTAACGGCCCGGTTGTAATGCGCTGCGCCACCAAGGGTAAAGCTCATAACCACGCCAGCCTTGGTATGTCACGAATACGGCGAATTTTTCTGTTTTTGTTTGCGCCGGATATCCCATGACGCATTGCGCTCTCCGCTCGCGTTTCTTCGAGCGCTTGCTCGAGTGCACTGTTTGGAACGAAAAATATAGCCAGTCGTGCGTGCGATTATCACTTACGGTTATTAACCGTCATGATTGACTCATTTTTGAACGAAATTTGAATATCTCAATTTTTGTTTGCGTACCCCTTTAAAGCATGAAGAAATACTTCTTCAAGTGTAATTAGCTAAAGCAAGATTTGTATTTTACTTAGTTTTACTTATTGTCCCTGCTTAAATAAAAATGTGTTCTTTTATGATATATAAATATTTTTTATTCCATTTTTTGTGTGCCTATTGTATAGTGTGTGAAAAAATAAATTATTAAGGTGATTCTCGTTTTTAGGTAAAAAACAGTGAGCCCCTGCTTGTTGTTACGTTTTGATAAGTTTTTTGAGTCCAAAAACTTCGAAAGTTAATCACACGAGCTCCGGCAATCTTTTTTCGATAGATAATATTATTGAGACACGCTTTCTTTACTTTATTTTATGAAAAAAAGTAATTTAATGCTGTTTTTTGTTTCTATACACTAGACTGGGAGAGGTTTTACGCAAGCATAATATTCCCGCGTGCATGACGGAGAAGGAGCGCCTCTTCGTACTTCTAGAAGATTCGAGTTTACTATTAATCCGAGTGTAAAAAAGATAAGGAGGACATCATGACCTTGCCCAGTCAGTCTCACACTAGCTCACTCTCGAACATTCCAGGTCGAATATTCTAGATACCGAGTGCAGTAAGTAGATAAGGAGCCTAGCGCGGTCATGCCGACACACTCAGACTCTCCCGACGACGGCGCATTCTCTCTCGCGCCGCCAGTTCACCTGACGCCGTACCGAGTCTCCTTACAAGTGAGGGACGCTATTGAAGAGCAAGTGCAGGACATGCTCAACGACGACATCATCTAGCCTCCAAGCAGCCTGTGGGCTTCTCCG